CTTAGTGAGGGTTATAATCCTTAAGCGCGGCCGAAGGGCGCCTAGGCAGAAAGGTGTTCTTTGCAAAAGGTGTTCAGCCCCTCTTCTTCAGCAACACAGAAAGGAGAATTCTACTTAGGGCCGGTTGCTCAAAGCCTGGTTGACACTAATCATCGGTTACATCGTTATCGACGTTTTCGACTCGATGCATATAACACGGTGTCGGTAACGTCGATAAAGATGCTTAACCAGGGATTAGTGTCAACCAGGCTTGCAGCAACTGGCCCTTAGTGAGGGTTATAATTCCTAAGCGCGGCCGAAGGCCGCCTACGCAGAAAGGTGTTCTCTGCAAAAGATGTTCAGCCTCTTTTCTTCGGCAACACAGAAAAGGAGAAATCGCTTAATAACCAACGTGGGTTGGGTTATATTCCACTTAAAACTTCTCAGTTTTTTCCCCTATTTTCAAACGGTTCCGTAGGGGTCTGCGGGAGGCGCCTAATGGCGGGTTGGGCTTTTTATAAAGTGGGAACTGTCCTCTTTCTAATGGGAGGGGTTTAGGGGGCCACGCTCCTTCCCCTCCGCCCGCCACTCTTAAAACGGTGGGCTAACAACTAAACATTTCCCGAAAATTTCAGTCTGTCTGTATGTTTGTACGCGTATCACTCGAAAACTAATGGATGGCATCGAATTTAATTTTCACCGATGTATCGCTAGAGGTCTAATTTACAATATAGGAGAAAAAATTAGAGAGTTCCCACCTGTTTGAAATTTTCAGTTTAATTAAATTGATACTATAAAGTAAATATTGCAGTGTGGCTGTCAAAAGAAAGAGGTTTACAAAGGCTTACAGCTAAAACTATTTTTAAGGCTGCCACCTCTTTGAAAACTTTTATTTAATTTAATTCATAACATAAACTAAATATTGCAATATTGGCATCAAACTAAAGAGGTTAGGAAATTTTACTACCGAAGATATTTTTAGGGGGACTGCCGCCTGTTTGGAAAATTGTATTAATTTATATTGGTAAAATAAATGAAGTATGCGGATATTAAACTAAAGAGGTTTAGGAAGCTTACTTTCGAAAATATTTTTAAAGCGGGTTGCCACCTATTTAGAACATTTAATTTAATTAAATTGATAAGATAAGCTAAATTTTGCCATATGGGTATCAAACGAAAGTATTTGAGAATAATAAAATTGTAACAGGCCGATGTCTGTACATTATAGATAATAAAGAAAAATTAATGTGGGGGTCTTTATTAGAGCAACATATATGTTTGCACGCGCATCCCTCGAAAAATAATGCCCTAACATACCTTATTTATACCTACGTAAAAACCGCATTAACAAAAAAACCGACTTGATTCAACACATATGTCTTTCTAACGTTTATTCCTCAGTCTTTATAGCGCACTTGATTAAACCGCGTTGAAAAGTAAACAAACTCCGTTAGTTTTACCGACAATTATTTAATAATAAATTTAAACGGTGGACCGAAATGGAAGCGAACAGTAATACAAATTTATTATAATACTAAATACTATTAAAAACGGGCTGTATAAAGATAAAATAGCCAATTGTGATTTCGCGTTAAATGAATTGTTCATTTTTTTATGGTTCGCATACGTTGGGTGGTGAGTGCAGGCGGAATGACAAAAAGGGAGCACTGTGGCTAGTCATGTCGACTGGGGGGGGTTCACGCCTTACTACTGTTCCCTGCGATATAGCAGAGAAAAGTCATGCCTGTCAAACATCTTCACTTCCGGCATGGCCGGAAGTATCGGACGGACACATAACAAAAATTCAAAAAAAAAACAGTTACAAAAAAAGCTGAAAAAGAACGTTAAATTAAATATTTAAAATAAAATTAAATTTAAGGAAATGAACAACCACAAAAACCTAAGGCCGAATATAAGGGCTCCACCGATGTTGTTGTGACGCCCGGTGCTGGCCCACCTCGCCATGGCTACTGGCGTGCCCTAATTTCAGTAGCCCCACAGTTAAAATTCCTATATGCATTCCTAACCCAGTAAAAACGTGAACATACCCATTTATATTAGGGGTCTTCATCAAAAGTGATAAACTCTTGATAAACTTGATAAAGTGATAAGTTTATCATTTTGATAAATGAACTGTCAAACTTTGTATGGAAATCTATTTAACCAAAGTTTATCACTTTCTCAAACGACTTTGGTGGATAAATGTATAAATTTCAGCCAAATTCAAGCCTTACAGGTTGCCAGGTAGTCGCTTTTGCTACGAACACATAAAAGCAAATGAACACAACTTACGAGGTAAGAATGAAACGTAACTAGCCATATATGTAAGTTAAATAATAAATAGTTTTATGCAATTATTTACGAAGGTGCATTCATGAAAGAAGACGGATAAACTGATAAATTTAAGCAATTTATCCCTTTATCGCTTTAGATGAAGACCCCTATTATAAGTTTATTGACAAAAATTCATTTTTCTTACGACTAAATTAATCCTATTTCTTACATCTATTTCCTTGCTGCTGGTGTGTTGTTGTTAATAGGCAGTGTGGCCGCCTTTAATTTCGACGCCTTGTTGTTGTTGTTAGGCGGTCGCTGCTGTTGTGGCCGCCTTGTTCTTGTTGTTAGGCGGTGAGGCCGCCTTTAATTTCTCCGCCTTGTTGTTCTTGTTAGGCGGTCGCTGCTGTTGGGGACGCCTTGTTGTTGTCGTTGTTAGGCGTTCGCTGCTGTTGTGGCCGCCTTGTTGTTGTTGTTAGGCGGTAGGTCGCCTTTAAGTTGGCCGCCTTTTTGTTGTTGTTAGGTGGTCGCTGCTGTTGTGGCTTCCGTGTTGTTTGTGTTAGGCGGTGTGGCCGCCTTTAATTTCGCCGTCTTAATGTTGTTGTAAGGTGGTCGATCGCCTTTAAGTTGGCCACCTTGTTGTTGTTGTTAGGCGGTCTCTGCTGTACCCGGGTGCTCACCTCGGTTGATGCCCACTCTCTGGCGGGTTGCTGTTGGTTAATGGTATATATTTAGTTAGTAAACAAACAATACAAGGTACTATAATATAAGGTATATATAAATTGTGATGTAATGAAAACCCACCTAGCTGCCTCTTCATATGCCATTTGGCTACTCCTGTAACGTCCGCGATTGATGGCACCCGGGGGGTGTTATTGGGAGGGGGGGAGGGGGGGGGGGGGGTTAAGAGCCAGATGTGTTTAGCTACCCTACAAGACGCGCTTGACAGAAACTCCAACACATTCACAACGAAAACTAACACATATGTAAAATTTTATATGCCAGTTTGGCCCTGTAGCGAATGACTGTCATTTGATCGATCAAGTGAGTGGAAATGCTGATAGAAGTAACGGTAGTTGGTTGCCATAGTATTCGCAAGATTCACTAGGGCTGCATTTTGTGCTCAACAAAAGTAGTTGTACCTGCCAAATAATGTCGAGTAGTGAGGTACTTTTATATAATTTGAACTTAATTAGTTTAAACGATAATTTTATCATTATTCGTCCACACTCATAGCAAAAGTAAGTAAAAATAAAAGTTTTTATCGTGGTATGACATTTTTTTTTTTATATATATAAAAGTAATAAATAAAACCATATTATAAAGTACTTGGTACTGAAGAAGGTCAAATGCGCACATCAACAGAAAAAAGAAAGACGCAAAACGAAAATATGCCCAAAACTCAAAGTGGTGTGGAAAAATGAAATAAGTTTTATAAAATATTTCATTTAAAATGAAGAAAAGAGCTTTTAATAACGCCATGAGCAAGAAAAAACTGATTTACGAATCCAATATTAAAAAATTCCATCGACATCGAAAGTTCTCTACCACTGCAGTCCTATGCGCTGTGGATTTAATAGAAACAAAATTAAAAGATCCAGAGTATGCTCAAGCCATGGTAATGAATTACACAGGCCAACAAAAATGGGCACCATTTTGTAACCTAAAATGTTAAAGCTGTTTTTGATAGACTTTTTCATGGTAATTACCAATCCGCAAGTAAAAAGTTTCCATCACGTCCAGATTTTGAGAAAAACGTGGCCAAATGTAACCGCTGTAACCGCTAAGCGATTTGGCCGAGTTCAGCAAAGCACGCCAGTCGTTTCTCTTCTGTGCCAACTGACGCCAATTGGAAACGCCAAGTTAAGCCAAGTCCTTCTCCACCTGACCTTTCCATCGCAGTGGGGGCCTCCCTCTTCCTCTGCTGACACCAGCGGGTTCCGAGTTGAATACTTTCAGAGCTGGAGCGTCGATGTCCATTCGAACGACATAGCCAAGCCAGCGGAGCCGCTGTATTTTCATTCGCTGCACTATGTCCATGTCGTTGTAAAGCTCATACAGCTCATCGTTCCATCGTCTGCGGTACTCGCCGTCGCCAATGCGTAAAGGCCCGTAAGTCTTCCGCAAAATCTTTCTCTCGAATACTCCAAGAGCCGCCTCATCGGATGTTGTCATTGTCCATGCTTCTGCGCCATATACCAGCACGGGCATGATTAGTGACTTATAGAGCGTGGTTTTCGTACGTCGAGAGAGGACTTTACTCCTGAATTGCCTACTCAGTCCAAAGATGCACTTGTTGGCAAGAGTCATTCTGCGTTTGATTTCAAAGTTGACATTATTATCGGTGTTAATGCTGGTTCCCAAGTAAACGAATTTCTCTACTTTCTCGAAATTGTAACTGTCAACAGTGACGTGGGTGCCAAGGCGCGAATGTGCTGACTGTTTGTTTGATGACAGGAGATACTTCGTCTTGTCCTCGCTTACCACCACTCATTCGCTTTGCTTCCTTATCCAACTTGGAAAAGGCAGAACAGACTTCGCGGTTTTTAATACCGATGATATCAATTTCATCGGCATAAGCCAGCAATTGCACGCTCTTGTAGTAAAATGTTCCTGAGCGGTTGAGTTCTGCAGCTCTTATTATCTTCTCCAACATCAGATTAAAGAAGTCACATGAAAGGGAGTCGCCCTGTCTGAAATTACGTTTGGTGACGAACGGCTCGGGGAGGTCTTTCCCAATTCTGACGGAGCTGGTGGTATTGCTCAACGTCATTTTACATAGCCGTATGAGTTTTGAGGGGATGCCAAATTCAGACATAGCGGCGTACAGGCAACTCCTTTTAGTGCTGTCAAAAGCAGCTTCAAAGTCGACAAATAGGTGGTGAGTGTCAATCCTTTTCTCGCGGGTCTTTTCCAAGATTTGACGTATTGTGAATACCTGGTCTTTGGTGGATTTTCGAGGTCTAAAGCCACACTGATAAGTCCCAATCAGTTCATTGACGGTGGGCTTCAGTCTTTCGCACAATACGCTCGATAAGACCTTGTAACCTATGCTTAGAAGGCTGATCTCGCGGTAGTTGGCGCGAATGACGGGGTCGCCTTTCTTGATGCATGCACCTTATCAACTCCTCGCCACCGTACTTGAATAGCGCAGCAGCTTTGTTGTTTTTCAGCCGCGTTATTGCTATCGACTCCGTCATCATCAAATGGGGGCTCGGCTTCTTCTGTATGCGTAAAAATTTTGAGATATTTAGTGGGGAAGTTTTAGAGTTGTGAAAGTGAAGTTTTTGTCGTTTATAACAGTTTTTTGGCAAGTTTTTTTTTACACCAAATCAAGCTACTAGATAGTAAGACCAGAGTATTTTTTAAAAGTTTTGACTGAACTGGTTCCAAAAACTATACTTAATAAACTTTCAAATTCACATCTTTAACTTAAATTTTCTGTGCAAATGTAAGAATGCTACTTCTTAAAAAACTGCTTTGCGTCTAAAAACAATGAAAACTGTGATTTCCGGAGAAAAAAGCGTACTGTTTGAAAATTTAAGGAGAAATCAACGTTTTTTTTCATATTTATATCCACCAGGCAGAAGCACAATAATAGCCGGTTTCTCCAGTAATTTAAATGGAAATTGGTTTTGTTTTCTGTCAATTGACTGCTCAATTGTCACTTAAATTGCTTTCGTGAAATTGGCTGTAAGTGCCATTAAAACATATTAAATTGCCCACTGGCTTATAGGCAATTTTGACGACTTTGCACATTAGGTCAATGGTTCATTTGGCTGTGCGAAAGTCCAATTTCGTAAACGCAGTTTTACATTATTGTTTGATGCCATTCTGTAGAAAATACTCCAAAATAACAGAAACTTTACTTTGTTTTTGTAAAATAAAAATCACCGTTAGACAGCAATCAAACAAAGTTACACTTTCAAAACGTTATTGACACGTCGCACAGTGGTCCAATCTGCTCTATTAGGGTAATTTAATTATTATATTAAGAACTAAGATAGATATCGGGATGAAATTTCGCACAAATTATGTCTGAATGACTAACAACTTCTGCTCATAAAATGGGCCAGATCGAATGGCGACCACGCCTACCAACCATATAATTAAAAACTCGCTAAATATTTCGTCAATTTCTGGTACATTTTTTAAGCACTTGCGCACGGTTATAGATACCTGCATACCTAAAACTTTTTTAGAAAGTCCGTTATGTATATACTGTATTGACGCCGGATCCGAATCAGCCACCTAATATATGTATAAAATAAAAAAAAAAAACTGCTAAAAAGTCAGATCAAGCTTAACAACTTTTAGGGCCGTTTCAGTTGCTCTTGCTCTATATTTACTTATGTTGCATTGTCAACCTTTTTAATTATATGACGAATGTAGTGAAGTTTCACTCTACGGAATAAAAAATTTATTTTTACCGGTAAGATAAGAAAACCAAAACACTTTAAAGTGAGGAACAATTTATCTGCCCTGTTAGTAAAGGCAACTTTACTGCTTACATTAGAAAATGGCCCTCAGTAAGTAAACGATACTGATGCTTTGATAAATTCGTGTGATGTGCATTCGACCGGACCTACCTATGGTTATGTATTTCGACCCGCAGAATTCGAATTTGAAGTCAGTTTGGCCAATATACCTCCTAAATTTCGATAAAACTTAAAAAAAAAACCGTAAAAATAGTGAAAATCGGCAATAAAAAACGGTTTTTTGAAGTTTTCTCGAAATCTAGGAGGTATATTGGCCAAACTGAATTCAAATTCGGATTCTGCGGGTCGAAATACATAACCATAGGTAGGTCCGGTCAAATGCACATCACACTAATTTTTTTTGAGTGCCGGTGTTATTAGTGCGAGAGCTTCTTCAGGCGAAATACCTTTAGGACTCTTCTTTGCCAATATGACCTTCTTAATAGCAGTACCTCTTTCTGGAGAAGCACTTAAAAGCTCATTAAGTAGCGTAGCTGAAGATCTCATTTTTCGTTCAGTAGCCAAAAAGAAATACATCTGGTTCGATAACTTTCGAATGCTCATTAGCTTTCTTCATTTTAACTTTTTGGCAATAATCTTCAAAACTTTTAGCTGGCCTACCAGCAGAAAATGTCGGCTTGCCAAACTTAGAATTAACAAATTGTGACAAGTCTATTTCAAATTCGAGCCAATCTTTATTTGCAGTAACAAACCGCTCTCTTTTTCGGAAAACTTTTGTCCACTTTAGGTCCAAATTCTGAATTAACTTCCCACGTATGATTTCAATTTAACAAATTTGATTATATGACTAGATCCTAAACTGATATTCCCTGGTACAAAATCCATTATTCCATCAAGTCTTTCATTTTTAGGGGTCGACAGCCAAAAATCAAAAACTTCCTGTCTTGAAATTTTAGGAGTCATTTTGAAAATTGGAAATAAATGTATGGGTGCCGCAGCTAACCGCAGAATTTTTTTGTGGATTCTATTAGTATATACATCAATTTAGAGAATAACTATAGTAAGTGATCTATATTCCGCCATATAAGAAAGATTTCTTCTACAAAACCAAAAAAATAATAATTTGGTACTAACCAAAAAGTTAAAACTTTATCAGCTCCAAAAAAATATGTTCGTCCATTTCTTTTACTTAAAACAACGACGGAGAAAGAAATGAAGTTAAAACAAAGTTTCTTTAAACAAGTTATTGAGCCTTAAAAATACTCAGTTTCCGTTGCACGCACAATTTCTTTTTCACTTATTGCTTACTATGACTTTTGGATACCGTTATGTTTATATGTAGCCAAATGTTTTTAAACAAAGTTGCATTTAGTCTTAAGTAGACAATATTCTTGCATATTTGATAAAAATTTTATTGAAAAATTACAAACAAAAAATTTAATTAAACTATCCAAGCTCTTCACATTGGACTACTGTGCGTCGTTTGCGCAACCGGTTTATTTCTTAAGTTTAAAGTGTATTTTTCATAAAGCTCGAATAATTAAAGAAACATTTTAATGGAAAACAAAAATATAAGTGAGAACCTATGTCCTAATTTAAAAAAAGTGACGTTTTATCATTTCTTTGCAAAATCAGCTGACTTATTTGCATAGCCTCAACAATTTTCTGATTTATTTCCAATTATGATTTAATGTAAGCTTTTACAATTTTGTTAACTTTCGGCAAACAATATGGAAATGGAAATGGATAAACTGGGATGTAACGAGTTGATCTTATTTTACGCAAGCCGCCGTTTTTAGCCGTTTTCAAGAAAAACAATTTTTTTTTTGGGCTATCATGCTAATACAAAAGCCGAGATGTTTGTAGTTTGGCTGATTGGATGTTCAAAGACAGAAAGGCTTTCTTCGGTTGTCAACCATGTTTAAAAACAAATTTGGTGCTGTTGATATTTGCGGAAGTTTCATGAAACTCTTAGAAGAAAAAAACGCTTATTTTTTGCAATTATTTATCAAACAAAGACGAAAAATTATGGAATTATCCCGTTTCTTACTGATGAAGTTGTTTTAGAAATCAAAGCCAACTGTGTCGACGAGCAGCCGGATTCTAACTTTCGCTATCGCTAAAATATGCTAAAATGCGAAAGCTAACATTTTATCCGAATTTTTGGCTATCCCCAAAAATTGCGGTTCTGTCCTCCCTTTCGTTAAAAATAACTTAGCCTAAATTGTAGTATTTTACCCGGCCGCAAGTGGCGCTGTACAACAACAGCAGCTGTAAAAATTTGCTTGCATTTTAATGGTGGTAAATAGTCAATTTCAATGGTGATAAATAGTGAAAATGGAAGTATGTGATAGCAAAAAAAAAGACCAGCCTCAATTTGGATTACATTTCATCTCCTGTAGCATAGCTATGTTACAAAGACACTCGCGCCGATTCGCAAAGACTATTGATGAGCAGCCTTCGCAAAGAGGCAAATCCTTGAGAGAATCTACGGATTGCAATTTCGAAATTTTTTGCTCAAGGTGAATAGAGCTTTGAACATTATTTTCGTAAATTAGTTTCAAAAACATTCTTTTCAGGAAGTTACCAGTGGTTTTAGTAAATGTGTTACAATGCATCATTTGCATTCTGAATATAAATAATATCGGTGGACAATGTGGGAAAAATCTTCAAGAGTACATATAAATGTAAATGCAATAACAATATAAATTATAGAAATAAAAAAATATGTGACATACATTGCAGAGAAGCGCAGCGAGCATGATCAAACTAAGCATATCCCACTCACCATCCATAATTTTTTCTGCTTAAATGCATTCAGTATCGTAGCTCCCTTGTGATGGAGCTCGTGGATTGTTAGACCATTTTTATGAAGAAATAATTTTTCACCTGTTAGCCTGTGTTTTTTGTATGTATACGGAGTTAAAAAGCTTTGGTTACAGATGTCGCACGGAAATCTTTCCCGATTCTCATTGTGACAGAGCTCATGATTTTTTAGGGCACATGACTCCTTAAATGTTTTTGCTGGCGAAGGTAAATTCAACAAAGATAGAAATTAGTCCACAAGTTAAAAGGAACGGAAATACTTACGGCAGGCCTGACAAAGAAAAGTTTTTGGTTCATGACGTTGCTTAAGTTTTTTTAATGAGCTTCTCTTCATTATTTTCCCACATTCTTCACACTTCACCGGCTCAGACCTGTCCTTGACTTTCTTTTTTGTTTTCACCTCGGATTTTACTTTGTTTGTTTTCTTTACGTTTTTAGGTCTTGTATGAGCAAGATTGAGTTGTTTACTTTTTTTCGATAAGACCAGCCCAGCTTCATTTAAGTTATTGCCGCTCTGCATATCCTTATCCGATTCAACTAGAAACTTTGTTGTTGTTGTAGTGTCAGTACTAAGTTTTTTTTTTTTTTTTTTTTTTGTTACTATATTTGTACAATAAATAAATATTCTACAAATACATTACGATTCGCAGCACTGGCGACGAAGGCCCTCAGCTGTCCTTTGCATCTTATTCGAATGAGATTATATGTGTCTTTGCATATTGCTTTATACTATTATGTGTTATATTCGTCTGAGCAGGTCTACCTCTTTGAGAAAATTATATATTAGTTGTACATTTCTATAGGTTGGGTTTTTGAGTAACTCGATGGGGTCGGCAGAGTTCAGGATGGCTTGTCGGGGTGTAGTGATTGTTGGACATCGTAAAATATGTGTTAGCGAAGATGCTTCCTCGCAGAATGGGCAATTTTCGATGGGGCTTCGTTGTAGTAAATAGGAGTGGGTAACAATTGTATGCCCAAGACGCAGGCGGGTGAAGGGTCTTAACGCACGTAGTGGTATATTTGGATCGTAGACCATCATCTTTCTGCATGGGTTGATTGCTGAGTAGTGATGGACGTACATTCCCCAATCGTCGATTAGTGACTTCAGTCTTAGCCTGGTAGCTTCAGCTCGAATGTCTTGCTTAGATACGGAGTCATACATAAGTGAGGGAGTGATGGCGATGTTCTTGGCTGCGGCATCAGCGTGTTCATTTCCCGAAATTCCAACATGCCCGGGGATCCACATAAGTCTTATTTTGTTAGGGCAGTGTAGTAGTATGTTGCGGATGTTAACTATTGCGTTTTGAGTGTTGGATGGTGATTCGACGGCGTTGATGCACGATTGACTGTCTGTTCAAATGACGAATTCGCCTTTATTCATCTTGGCATAGATGACTGCTTCGAGTACAGCGGTGGTTTCCGCCGTGAACACCGAGCAAATAGAATGAACTAAGTTTTTTATCAATATTTATTTCGTGTTCGATATCATTTGATGCAGATGTTTCATCATCATCCATAAAATGTTCATTCCATTCTGGTGATACTTTTATATCCTCTACGTGATCCTTGTAAACAAATAGAAAATAATTATTGTTTAATTATATCTAAATCGTATTTGATATAAAATATCTACAGTATCTGGCATCTTAGTTACTTCCATTAGCTCTTCATGTACTGGAACCCATTCAAAAGTGTTGGCTATACTTTCTATCTTCACTTTTTCCGTTTGTGTGCAACGTAATTCATTATCAGCCCTTCTCGCCTTTTCAATAAAATCATAAACGTCTTTAAGTTTTTGGGCACAATCAAGGCATAGATATTGCATCCGGGCATCATCGAGTTCATTTGGATCATCTTTCAAACTTAAATTAATTTGTGTACATTTACAAAAACACTCTTTGTATGATATATCCAAAGAGTCAACAGGCTGATACCAATCTAGCAGATGCACCCGATCTTCCGGCGACAAACAGGCACGGCATATATTTGATAAATCCATCTGAACTTTTCACCACTGCCGTATTGATAATTCAAGTCTTAGTCGGTAAAAAATAGTTTTGTAGAATGTGTGATTATATATTGGTAAGACAGAACAATTTGAAAATAGGGATGTCGAAAATATTTCGATATAAAAAATGGTACAATTTTAATGCTTTTAAAAGTCGATTGTCCGACAAATAGATTTCTTCGGTAGATATAGTGATGTTCCGATATCAGTGAAAACTATCTCCTGAAATTGAATCAAAATAAATTAAAATGTACTTTAATAAATTTAAGGAAAAATATTGTTATAAACTTACAAATTGGTCATAGGCAAAAGATTGTTTCTTTTGTTTACTTTTTACCGCTCTTCTTCTGCCATTGTTTACTATTCACGGTGCATTATCAAACGTCAAAATTACTGGCCTACTACTATTTCAAGCACAGAGAACGTATATTTATAGAGAAGGTCCAAGAACGGATCAGCGTGGAAACTGTCAAATACCAATAAAACTTGCGAAGCGCATTTTAAGAGCGGCAAGCCAGAGACAATCGAATTTTAACAGAGCCCAGCCAGAAGCAAAATAAATTTAACAGAAATTGTCTCATCAAAGCAAATGCATATTTTTCTTGTTAGAAATGAAATGCTGATGGCTTTTTACGTTTTTACCTCGCTTTTATTGTTCTTTAAATTGGTTAATTATTTAAAATAAATGCATGCATAGGTCGAAATATGTAATATGTACATATTGTGTACATGCATATGTATGCGAGAGATACAATTCTGTGAATCAAAAAAGTGAAAGTTATGCAAATATGTAGTATGCAATTGGCAAATTCATGGGTGATTTGCCGTCGGCATTTGAGTTGAAAAAAAAATCGACTTTTATTTTTTTACCGATTCATATGGTAGATGCTACGCTATTTTCAATGCAACAAACCGCAGTTTTCTAGCTGCCTTACCTTTTCCCCAAATTCACTTTAAAGATGGACACATTAACCAAAAAACGCAAATGCGCACTGTTTGGTGATTTGATGTCGGCATTAAAAGCGAAGAAAATCGGTTTTTATATTTTTAGCGAT